TAAATGTTGGTACCGGTTCCCACTTGACAGAATTCTAAACACACTTGGAAAATCCTGTTTTTGGTAATTTTGAAAAACATACGATATAGGTATAGTGTCCTAAGTGGGAAACAACTTCTTAAAGTGTTGTTCTTTCCTTTCTCGATGATCTTAGTTTACTATCTTCGAACAACCTTCCAATTCCGCAATCAATGTTGATCTTGATATGATAACTCGAAATTATAACTCGATCAGGACTTGTTTTGATATCGAAATTTGCCAATTACAAAAATTATATCTCACAACATTTACCACCACATGTCCAACAATAAATTTTTGTTTCTCTAGATTCTCCTAAATATTTTATTTTATCTTTCCTAGCCTTTCCTCTAAATGATGACCCTTTTTCATAACTATAAAATTTAAAATAAAATAAAATAAATCATTCTTTTCATTCCTTGGGATTTTGTCAATTTTCTAGCCGAACAAGAAATTAATTCACCCTCTCTCATAAAATTTTCCATCATAAAATTTTGAAAATAAAAATAGATTTTTATTTTTAAAATATTCCACTAGGAACAACGCACTATAAGAAAACCTGCTCTGGTACCAAGTGTGAGTTATATTATACGGAATGGTTGTCGAATAAGAATTTGAAAAAAAAAAATAATCTAAAGGGGGGTGAATAGGTTTACCTTGAACTTTTGTCCAATTTTTGCTAATTTTACTTTTACCGAAATAAAACTAAAACAACAACCCACAAAGAAAAAACAAAGTGCAAGTAAAGTAAAGAGATACTAAGAGATTTGACACGAGTTTTTACCGTGAAAACCTTGTAAACTATAATTATTCATGTTAAGCATTAATCACAAATTTATATGAATTCCATATCTTAGAACTTCATGATTTTCACATATCTATAATGCATAAATAAATAGTTAGATATAAATATATCGATCTATAATTGTAAAACTCGTAGAGATCAAGGCAAACGTCAAGATCCTTTCTGCGGAACGAACAACATGCTGAACTGCAATAGTCAAAGCGTGAAAACTGATTTCTCTCTCTTGACCTTTTGCACACATAAATATTTTACGTATTGTTTTCATTAGTGTACATAACTGATGGAAGTATGTACTTTTATAAAGGCAGAGAGAGGACCAATTTTCCTTTTAGTAACTTTATTTCCACTTTCCATCAAAGTAGGGAATAAATAGGAAAACACTTCTCCAATAATTAATTACCAAAAGGGTAATTTATAAGTTGACCAAATAATATATTACTAATCTGATATCTATTTTATTTAACCACCAAATAATAGAAGTAAATCACGTGTCCATATCATGTGGGCCACAAATATAAGAAAATATCTTACAAACCTTACTATACAAAAAATCTAACAACTAGGGGAAAAAAAATGGAGTCTTTCGCAATCTCGAGCGGAATAATCCACTGTCTTCAAAGTAAAGTATAATAGATTATGTCTCAGGCACACGCCCACTTGCCTTTACCAAGAACTAGTTGTCGACTCTCGCAACTCCTCGTCAGATTGCTATAGATTTCAAGCTTACTCCTTTATCTTTGTAGAATGGTTGCTAGAAGAAAAAAATACTCTATCCCCTCCGTAGCTCAATCGAATTCTCCTTCCTTCAAAACTAAATTTTGTAAAGGCAAATTAAAACCCTACTTTTCTAAACAAATTCTGAATGAATCTTCATGATTTTCATTCAAGATACTCTCAAAACCCTTACAAATTTAGAAGAGAATTAGAATTTATATAATGTTAAAGAGACCAAAATATACATTAAAAAAACTTTAATTCAAAAAAAAAAATTCCTAAAATCTGATAAAAATGGAAATCAAACTTGGCTAAAACTGCAATTTCTATATTGGTTCCACAGTACTTGGACCGGTCCAAGAGAGTTGGACTGGTCCATTTTTGGCAATAGGAAAAACATCAATGCATACGCCAACTTAGGAAGTAAAATTGTGAATCACATACTAACTTGAACCGGTGCAGGAAAGTTGGACCGGTTCATATTTGGTTGTAGGACAATTTTTAATATCCAGCCAAGTTCGACCAGTCCAAGAAAGTTAGACCGGTCCATTTTTGACTGACCTGAAAAATTTTAAATTTCATGCAAATTTTTCCTACGTCATAAAACCAAAAATGAACTACAAAGTGTTATCACCAACATACCTTATTTAATATGATGTTCTCTTCAAATCGAAGTTGAACGCACATAAGTTGCATTTATTGTACGCACATTGGTTGCACTTGTTATTTCGCTTCCGACATTAAGACTCATAATAAATAAAAATTTACAATTCGATCAGACATGTTTTGACAACGAAATTTGACAAATTATAAAATTTATGTCTCAGTAATGGAGGCTCAAGGAGACCCGGTTGATATTGCTAGGAGTGTGTTTTTTTAATACTCTTAATGCAGCTACTCTATGTTTAAAGGATATTCTTTGTTTGGTCTAGTTCCCTCTATATGTTGTGTAAGTCTGTCTACTCTTGCTTGGTTCGATATGGTTTTGTAGAGGGTTCACCCTCGGTGATCTGTATTTTATATCTTAATAAAATAACCCATTTATTTTAACTAAAAATAAAAAATAAAAAAATAACCCCATTTAGAGGGTGGGATGTATATAATAGTGCAAAATAGTGACATTGTTGCAATGTGAAAAATAAAAAATACAAAAATACAAAATATAAAATAAATTTGATTAAGCTGATGAAAACTTTATGGAGATGACATAAACATATTCTTAGAATAATTTTGACTAAGAAAAGTGCTAAAAGTAATTAACATTATTATTTACGAAAATCTCAAAAATCATAACATTTAGTAATGTTAACACTTTTTATCAAAATTTTCGCAGTTTAACAGTTTTGAAACAAATTATAGGATTTCAAGGGATGTACACCCAAAATGTAAAGATGATATCATTTTCAAAATCCATATGAAAACCAATTTAGAAAGCATAATTTGATATCATGCAAAATATGTAGTTTCTTTTTTCTATTTTATCAGCATTTATAAAAATAACTCCAATGTCCAAATTACAAATAAGACTAATGTATAGTAGGGCTGCAAATAAGCTGAGCTGAATCGAATCGAGCTGAGCTTTGTGTTATTCGGGCTCACCTTGCAAACTCAGAGGCTTGTTCGGGCTAGGCTCATTTTTGGACGAGCTTGGCTAGGATGAGTTCGGGATCAACTTGTCATGATTCACCCAGACTCAACTCATGATTAGCTCGTCATGATTCACCCACGCTCACGCTTGGGCTCGACTCGTGATTATTTCATTTATTCATAAAATATCACAAACACGCACGCGCGCGCGCGCGCACACACACACACACACATATATATATATATATATACAAATTAAATTGTATATGTATGTAGCAGGAATATATATGGCTCAAGTGCAAAAAATACCTCTAAAGTATGCTTAAAGTGCTTATCACACCCCTCGCGTGCTAAAAAACATTCATAAAGTTTGAATTTGGTGCAAATAGGACCCTTTGACAAATTTAAACCCTAAGTTGACTAAATTACCCTTACTGAACCATTTATAAAATATATATAAATAAATAATTTTATAAAATGACCAAAAATGACACTATTAGAGGACACCCCTCACGTGCAAATAGATCCCTCTGACAAATTTATACCCTAAGTTGACTAAATTACCATTATTGAACCATTTTATAAAATATATAAAAATAAATAATTTTGTAAAACGACTGAAAATGACACTATTGGAGGACGGCAATAGACAAGTGAAAATAAAAATAAAAGTATAAAAGTAAAGAAAAGATAAAAATAAAAAACGAAATAAAATGCAAACTAAAAAAAACAAATCTGCTCTAAACTCCGAAAACAATTAGCACACTGATATTGGGATTTTTTTCCTTTTTTTTTTGTTTGAAAAATAAAATAATTAGTATAAAACATTAAACTGAAATTTCAACAAATTCAAATCCTTATTCTACAAATTCTCAAAAAAAAAAAAAAAAAAAAAAAAAAAAAAAAAAGAAATAATGTGTACATAATACCCATATACTATGAGATTAGTAGCATATATATCCCATTGAACATTTTCGAAAGAGTAAAAGGACAAAACGGATATTTGAGCACTAATTTGTGTCATGAGGGGCATTTTTGCATAATGTGAAAAGATTAGAAGTTTTTTTTGCACACTTTTTTCAAATAAGGGGTAAAAGTACGACGCAGAGTATACTTTAGGAATATTTTCTGCACTTATCCCATATATATATATATAATCAAATATATACACACGAAAGAAAAAAAAAATTATACAAATTTATATAAATATACAAATATATATATATGTACATATTTGTAAAAGAATTTGATTGTTCTGATTTCTTGGTCTACCGCTGATCGATTTCTCAACCACAAGTGTCATCAGCTTTATACGCTTGTGGGTCTTCTTCTTGATAGTTGCATAAAAAGGGAATGAGAAAGAGATCGATCTGAGAGTGGGAAAGGGATAGAGATATGAGATATGAAAGAATGATGGAGTTTTCAAAAAGGTTTTGAAGAGATATGATACTCCTATTTTTTTGGTTGTGATTATTTACAACCGTGGGATTCGTTGTAATTCGATTGGTTTATAACTAATAGTTTATCATTGTTGGTGGCCTTTAGAAAGTTGTGTTTGGGCCTAACTTTTTTACAAAAACTAATAATTGATTCTCTGTATAGGATCATCTAATTTCAGACTTCGGCAGCCGAACCAAGTGAAGCAATCTCAAAGTTCAATATTGCATCCTAGTTTTTGTACCAACAATTGGTATAAACTCTCCTTCCTGAGTGTTCGAATCTCAGTGAAAGGATGGACACATGTGTTTGCTTAACTGCCCAAAAAAAAAATCTCAAAGTTTAATATTGCATGTTGGTTGAAAAATAGGAGAAACCCAAACTTCTTTTTTTTTTTTTTTTTTTTACATTCGAACTAACCATTTAAAGAAAATTAAAATTAAGAAAAAAGAAAATTAAATAAATCTATTTCTGATGTTTTAATCATCACAATAAATTACAAAGGAAAATGTAGCCATTGGGCTTCAATTGAAACCATGAATTTGTAATAAAAAACTATACATTATTAAATATAATTTGACCTATTTTGCCAAACCCCTAATGCCATTACCAAACTCAAATAAAAATGCATAGATGAATTTTGAATTTTTTTTTTTTTTTTAAAAAAGATCACTTAATTATTATGTCTTGAAGAATTGGGGAGAGGTCTCCCAGCAAGAAAGTGCATGATGAGTGAAAGTGCTCTTTCTGGTTGGTAGCTTGGCACCTGATGCCCTGCCCCTCTAACTGTAGCAAAAGTTAGGTCTCCTTTGTACACTTGGGTATACCCACCAACCTGTCACACAAACAACATCACTCATAATATATATTTATATATATATATATATATATATATACATATATATATTTTTTTATATATATATATTACATAAAAACTCTATGATAGTATTTTTTTTTTATTTAAGTCAAACAATAACAAAAAAAAATTGTTACGACAAACACGAACTTGAAAATAAATCATTTAATATAACAAAAAAAGTAAGCACATCAAGCACAAAGAACACAAAAATTTGCGAAAGTTGTCACTACGCAATAAATAAGAAATTATAATTTCGGCCCCTCTATATCTTTCTATGCGATTTTTAGTGTCGACTTTCTATCTCCCTAATTTAAACCCTGAATGCTCGGGTTACAAGATAGTACTAATTATCATCCACGAGCAAAACGGGTCAAAGCTCATCTAACGGATCAAATTATAACTGGACCCATCACCAAATTCGAAGCAAAGCATCACAAAAATAAATAATAATAATAATAACATATATCTTCTGTTAAAAGCACTTCTGGCAAGTCTATTATAAAGGGCTTTTGTGTGGGTCTAGACCCAGATGCTTATGAGGAGCCTGTATTGGGCCTGCAATTTTTAGTGGACTCGTTCGGTCACTCCACTACGAAATGTCACTTTGAAAATAACCTTGTGAGCCCACTAGTTGCCCGTTCACAATTTCAACTATTTATGTCAGCTGACCCGAGCTTTGGCTTGACCGACCTCAAACTCCAAATTGAGTCCAGATCATATATAAAAATAATAAAAGTTTCGAAGTGGTAGTATTATATATTTTTTTATTATTACGTATTGATTAATATGTCTATTAATTTAAATATTTTGAAAGAAAAGAGTCCTTATTTGACACTGTGATTGAAATAACCAAAAAAAAACACCAGTCGTGAGGTGCAGCAATCCCTCAAAAATTACTTATTGACTTCGGAATTGAAATTGGGTTAAGATCTATATTACTGTTTGAAGTCGGCTCAAAATTTACTTGTCTAGTTCAAACTCGATTGGAACACAAACTTGATTCAAGAGTTTGAACGCGAATGTTCATAAACATGTTTGCAATTCTAATGAATTTGAGCCACAAATTAATTGGTTCGTTTACGAAGCTAGCCCAATAACAAATTCGAGCTTGACTGTCATTTACTTGGCATACGAATTCGAACTGAACTTTACTCAAGTTGTTGCGAATAACATGATCATCAAGAAACAAACAAAATAAAATGTAGAAAATGATAAAAGAAGAATCTAATTGAATTACCAAATATATATATATATATATAATTAAATGTTTAAAAGGGATGAGGAAATAATTACCTCCTCTCTGAGGAACCAGGGATGCCATGTAGTATTTACAGGAAGACTCATAGTGTTAATTGAATATTGCGTTGAAGTGACTGGTATTCTTCCATCCATGTCACCGCTGTAACAAATATGCGTAAAAAGAATAATGTTATACAAGCAGAGATTCTGAGTGAATAACATTTCCTAAATGAAATCAATGCGTTGAATTAAAAAAATAATAAAAATAAAAAATAAAATAATCTAGTTTAAATTAAATTTTTTCTAATTTTAAATTCAAATTAAACGTTAACATTAGTGTAATTTCATAAAAGCTCATATATAATTATTTATGGACATTATATATATGTGTGTGTGTATATAAAATATTAATAGAAATGATGTTTGATTGTCACTGAATCAATAGGGTGGGGTGGTCCAAATGGAGGTGCATAAATTACAAGTTGCAGTTGCAATTTGACATATGAAATTAAGCCACTCAAAAAATGGGGTCTCTTATATAGTGGTCCATCTATTGCTTAGGTGCAAGCCATTTTCAGGAGCGTGACAGAAATTAATCATATACATATATATGATATGATATCACCCACTAACATACATAATAACTAGGGAACAAAACTATATATATACAATCATAACATATTGTAAACATTGATGATGATACTGATAATGATGGAAAGTGAAAGAACATACCTAAATATCCACAGCCTAAGTCCATTCGCCATGAACTCTTTTAGAAGAGGAATGACCGTTGATGGGCTATCTTCCCAATTTTTTATCACATCACTGCATAATTTTAATGTCAATCTTATGTAAAAGTTATATTTAGGTTAAAAATACACGTGAACATGTAAGATATGTATAATTTGGTGTAACGGATAATTATAAATACTTCATTTAAGTAAAGTGAACCTATAATAGAATCAAAAATTTAACATATGTGCTTTGATGAAGTGTTTGTAGCAGTCTGTTACACCACGTCATCATTACAACGGTTACAATAGAGGAATTTTTTGATGATTTCAATGAGACAAGTTTCAAAATTTTATGGGTATAAGTGGAAAAAAGAAATAAATAAAAAAATAAAATAAAAAATAAAAAAATTAGAGATAAAAAATGCAATAACAAAAACTTTTAGTGGGGACGAATGTCCCCACTAAGTCCACAGTATATCCGTCTCTGATTACATTGAATAATATCTCATATTAGAGAGAAAATTACTCGCCATTTGAAATAGTAGTGCCGAAAACAAATCCAAAAATTTAGAAACAGCCGGATGCATTAAAGTGGAGCTCATTTAGATTCCACTCCAATGCATCCAATGAATGTCTAATGCTTTTCTTTGTGATCGATCTTACAGTTAAGACCCAAATCGCAATTAGATCTACAATAATAATTTGGAATCTGAAAGTAAGGGTATTACGTTACAATGGCATTAGCTCCTACTCTAATAAAATCCGAGGGTTGAACTATCTATCACTAATTGTACCTGCACGGCTCCCAGTCATAACTGAGCTTGGTGACATTGGCATGGAGGGCTTCTTGAACGTCAGGTCGATTCAAATAAGCGTACACGTAATTTTCACTGCACGGATCAAAATTTGACAGCTGCAACAAAAATTACAACATCATCATATGACAATTTCATTAATTTAATTTTCAAAGACAACATTATGATCTTTTATGTACTAATTAAACTTACAGAAGTCTTTTTGGGCTTGGCAGTGAGATTGGTAGACACACACACAGGAGCATAGATGTTGTAAATATTTATATCTTCGATATTCTTTTCGGCTTCAATAACCGACGAATCACACTCATCAGACTGTTTGGTAGCATTGGGTGAGAAATCACAGAATTTCTGTATTTGATTATAAATTTCATCGGATATGAGAGCATGGGTTGCAAAATAATTGAACATTCCTCGTTCATCTGTCTCATCGTTAATCACTGCATTCCCAATCTGCAATGATGTACGTGTTCAGCTATATAAATGTATTTTTAAAAAAATGTAATAATAAGTTGATAGTTTATTTTTTAATAATGTTTGAACCGAAATCTTAAAGTGAATTGTTTGATTTATAAACTTTAATAGATCATCAATTTCACATAAACCGGTCTCAAAGCAAAGTCAAACCCCACAATTGGAAAGTGGGTTGGTGGGTCCGAATAAACTGGACTGAAAACAAAACAACCTAATGAGCAGTCCAGCCATAATGCACAATTATATAGCTTTGTTTTCTTTTCCACCCTCACACACATACGGATGACAAACATGACATTGCCGCAACGATTAAGAGAGGAGAGCGTGTGATGTCCACCATTTCACATTTTTCTCTCTCTTATTCAGGATCACATATTCTAATGCACTCTTAATGACTTTATTGCATAAAGATAATGTCACAAATATCCATGCATGATATCATATTCATACAAATAGAATAAAGGGTAACATTCATTTAGACCCCTCAGATTTGTCTATATTTCAGTTAGACCTTTCCAAAGTTTGCCAATCTTCATTTAGACCCCTGGTAGACGGTGTTAAAGAAATGAGTGAAATGACTAATCTAACCTCATTGGAGGCCGGGTAGATTAGTCAAATTAAATTAGAAGAAGTGAGGAGAGTAATATGGACATTATAAATTACACTCTGGCCACCTTTGACCATTACATGAAGGAAAGACTAATATGTGTCAGAAAAAGTAAAGAGCCTAACTGAAGATTTGCAAACTTGGGGAGTCTTGCTGATGTATAGACAAACCTCAAGAGGTCTAAATGAATTTTACCCTTTAATTAAGATATCTCAATTGGTAGTGAATACCACTTCAAAACAAATGACCCATCAAATACTATAATATTGTAATTTTAAGAATGTCACTTGCCCCACATTCTTCTCTATGAATTCTCCATGTAAAATACATGTATACATACATATATATAGAGAGAGAGAGAGAGAGAGATTCTTACCATGATCCCTTTGAGGTTAATAATAGTAATGTTGTTGCTAGCATTCTTGTTATGGTATAGAATATTATGTGCAAGTTGAGGTACATAATGTCCAGCGTAGCTCTCCCCGGCGATATAAAATTCCCTACCCTTGTACTCCGGGAACCTCTCAAACCAATTCAACAAGAACAAATAATTATCTGCAGCTGTCTTCTTATCTCCCCCATTCTCAAAATCCGACGTCGTATTCGAATAAGAAAACCCCACTCCTGCTGGTGACTCCAAGAACAAAACATTTGCAGCTGCCAATATCGTACTAAATGTAAGACAACAAAATTTACAAATGTAACTTAAATTGTACCATAATATATATATATATATAGTAGATACCAAGAATTAATATTTACCATTGTTCCATGCAAATCTGTTCTGGTATAATGTTTTGCCATCACTGTGGACTCTGAATGGTCCCAGCTCTTGCATTGCTCCATAGGCAAGAGATGAACAACCAGGCCCTAAATATATATCAAATAATGTCACATTATACGTTAATTATTAACCCAATTACCAAAAAAAAAAATTATATCATTAACTATATATCCCATAAATTAATAAAACTATATATTTTAAACCAAATTGGAATTGATAAAATAGTCTTATACATCAATATATACTATTAGAATGTGTAATCTAAATTTTGTAACATAGATATAGAATCTGGTGAAGTAAAGGGTCATATATATATTGTTGATATCTGACAAAATTAAAAGTAATTCATACAATAATGCAAAAAAGTAGGAACTTTCAAAAAGTTTAATTTTATATTTTGAATCTTTGATCAATGTGTAAATGTGTGTGTGTGTGACAGGAGAGAAATTAATTAACTACAGTAACAATCCTGAAAAAATCAAAAACTATAGTCAAGATTCAATATTTCAATACATGACAAAAATTAAATAAAATTTCACTACACCGTAACCAAACAAATAATGACATTGACTAATTATTCATCGATAGAATAAAACAAACAACAATTGGCAATGAAAATTCAATATATATACCTCCATTAAGCCAAAGAAGAAGAGGCAAGGACTGCTTAGAATGCTGTGCTTCTGCAAAATAATAATAAAAAGCTCGACCGGCCGGTTCGTCGATGGTCACATAACCACCGTACTGATCAAACCCTACTTGTGGTTGTCCCGGTAATCTCTCTATTCTGTCTCTCTCTTTCATTCCTTCCTGAGAAAGAACTTCAACGAGTCCATTAATGGTCACCTTGAAATTGCTGGTGTCAATTATGGAGTTTTTGGTCAGCTTCGTTTTGTAAAGATGGCCAAGAGCTTCACTCTGTCTCTTTCCATAGCATGTGAAGAAGAGAGAGAAGAAGAGAAGCAAATGCAGATTGGCCTTCATTGTTTCTCTCTCTTCAGAGAAGCTAGAGAGAGAGAGAGGGGGGTGGGGGCTTAGAGTTTTTGGATCTGAATTAGGTGTGTGTATGTGTGTGTGATACTGTGATTTTGTAGATGAGGAGTTGTTTTTAAAGGTTACAAGTGAGTCTCTCAACTACTTTAACGCTAATTTCGGATAACACACGTTGTGATTGGACAATTATTTCCAAAAGTATGGGCCCCAAAAAAAATTATGAAATACCAATCATTTTGTGCCACGTCATAATATTTTGGACTGCAGTGTTTTGTCATATGACTAATATGGAATGGCATCTATGGTTTATAAGCTTTCATCCATTGGTTTTGTTGTTTGCCCTCATCATATCATAGTGAACTATGTTTGGAAATTTGATGTTTAGTTTCACAAACATAAACATATATATATGTATATATATGTTTACATATACTTACATGAGTAGGGAGGGGCGGAGTCAGAAATTTGTTTCAGGGACGCCGTATTAAAGATGATAAATTATATTTTTTTTAAACGAATAATTATGCAAGACAATAAGTCAACAAATAAAACTATAATAATGGTGGAATAATAGAATTTAATAATTTGAAATATAATTATTTAAAAAAATGAAAACATAAAATACCGATTTTAAGAGTCCTTTTAGCAACAAATTTAATTACCAAACTTTGAAGAAAAAAAAAAAAAAAAAAATAGCTTGAATAAAGGAATGCAACTTTTTTTAAGAGAATATAAAAGAAGAAGAAGAAGAAGAGGAGGAGGAGGAGTAAGAATGAAAAGAAAGGAAAAATTAAAAATATTTTTAAAAAATAATTATTTTTGTGTGAGTTTTTGTAAAATTTTATAAATTATAAGCCTATTTGCAATAAAAATTATTTGGCCCAAGGGTAAATAATTATTTAGGGGGCGTTTTTAACTTTTTTATAAATTATTGGCCTATGTGTATATAATAAAAATTAATGGCCATTTTCTAGAAAAAAAAAAAAAATTTATTTTAGGGGGGGCATTTTGAAAACTTTTATAAATCATAGGCCATTTTGTAATTAAAACTAATGGACCAGCATGGCCCGGGTGGGCCCTGGGCCTATGCCTGCTTCGCCCCTGTGAATATGTATCATTTGTTATATATAATACAATATTATTACGTGATCACAACTTATTTTTTGAGTTAATGTGTTGACTCTCAAAATAAATTATTTCAATGTCCGAATTCACTGCAGTATAGCTTACCAGCGATTCTGGCTTCATGCAAGCGAGTTGCAGCGAGGCATGGACCTATAATAGGACTAGTGGGGACAGATGCCCCGTTGGATTTTTTTTTTTTTTTTTTCATTTTATATTTCAATTTTTTTTGAATTTATGAATATGCCCCCACTGTAATTTTTTTTGCATTTTATGCTTCAAATTTTTAAAAATTTATGAAGATGGCCCCATTAAAATTACAATTTGCACCACTGGAATTCTGGTTTTTTTTTTTTTTTTTTTTTTTTTTTGCATTTATACTTCAATTTTTTGAGAATTTATGAAAATAACCTAACTAAAATTACAAAAATAGACCCATTATATAAATTTGCCCCCACAAATTAAAAATCGACCCCCCTCACAATTTTTTGAGTCCAAACTGAGGATCGATTTTTGGAGTTAACTTATACTCAAGGGATCACAACCCTTTGTCGTGATCACTGAAGTGCGTGTGTCGTCCACAATGACTTGGCGTTTTCGTCACCTTCTTTCGGCTTATCACCTGGTAGGGTTCCAAACTCATTTATATTTGGTATATCAAAGTAAATAACTTATTTTGAGAAGTGAATCACGCTACTAAAATTGTTGAACGCGCTTACAATAAACAAAAACATTGATGGAGACTCGTACAGACATATATGGTTGGAGCTGTATTTATTGTTTCCTATTTCTCCGTGGACAGCTTTTGGGCACGCCACACCGAGGGTGGGGACATGATTGAATAGAAAAAATGGAGCCTATGTGTGTTAGTGTGTGTGTGTATATATGTAAGATATTTTTTACAATTCATGAAAGTCAATGTACAAATACAAGGAAGATAGTAGTGCATGTTGTTGAGTTGTAATGATTATTCAAATGTGTGTAATTTTATGAACATGAATATTTGAATTAAATGGAAAAACAAGTTAAGACTGCTCATTGATATTTGGTACTCTCGTGTCCATCTTTTTATTTTGATTCGTCTCAAAATATTTTTGATAATATATTAAATTTAATTTTAAATCGTAAAAAGTAAACTATCACATCACTGTAAATCTTCTACGAATAAATTTGATAATTTATTTACTATTAATATAATAAAATAATAATAAAAATCATTCTCTTAAAAAGTTATAGTGTAGAGACTCCTTTGTAATTTTGAAAACAGTTCTTAATAACTCAGAACAGAGAACAATATTTTATAATTCTCTAAAGACACATTTTTATAACTGAATTTTTAAAAAATTGAACCAAGCAAAATTTTTGTATAATTTTTTATAACAAAAAATTATTTTTATAATTACAAATTAAACAAATACTTATTTTGGGACGGATGAAATAAGAGGGCATAGTGGGTCTAATGTATATCAGCTCGGTCCAAGAAACATTTTTAAATAAATAATGCTTGATCCAATAGTTGAAATGAAACAAGGAATCGAACACTCTCCATCCGTTGAATATTCAACGGATGAAATGGGGAGTCTTCCTCACCCTTTTTGTTTTAACTTTTCTGTAAGAAAATCCTGATTTTTGATATAGCGGTGGACTCCCTTTTCTGTTTTAACTTTTGTGTGAGAAAATCTTGATTTTTGAAATAGTGGATCTAATGAAGAAATTGTCTGTTCAAACCAACTTAATAAACTTTCTAAAAAAATAAATTATATATGTACATTTTATATATATATATATAGACACCTACCAATTTTTAAAAAAAAATAATAATAATAATAATAATAATAATAATAATAAAATAAAATACATATAGATTTTAGCGGAAGGAATCAGTACCCACCTCTTGTTCCAATCCAATTTCCAAATCTTTTCCGTTATAAAAGGGACCCCTTTGTGCATTGTCATGCCATAATTGATTTTTTTACTTTTTTTATTTTTATTTTACACTTCAAATTTTTTAGAATTTATGAATATGCCCTCACTGGAATTTTTTTTTGCATTTTCTACTTTAAATTTTAAAAAATTTATGAAGATAACTTCACTAAAATTACAATTCACTCCACTGAAATGATTTTTATTTTTGTATTTTATACTTCAATTTTTTGAAAATTTATGAAAATGAACCCATTAAAATTACAAAAACCATCCGTGATTGTAACTTACAATTCGAACTGAAGACTGATTTTTTGGAGTTAACTCACCATCGTGGGATTGTGACCTTTTGTCCCGGCTATTGTAGCACGTGTATCGCCCATGATGACTTGACGTCATCCTTACCTTTTTCCGGCTTATCACCGGCTAGGGCTCCAAACTCAAGTGCAATGTGAATAACTAATTTTGAGTATATAACAACACCAAAATTGTTGAACGCAGCTTACAATAAACAAAAACATGTATGGAGACTCGTACAGACATATATGGTAGGAGTTGTATTTATTGTTTCCTATTTCTCCATGGACATCTTTTGGGCAGGCCACACCGACGGTGGGGACATGATTGAATTGACAACATGGAGCCTATGCACACGCACGCGCACATATATATATATATATATATATATATATATATATATATATATGTTTATGTATATATGTAAGATATTTTTTACAATTCATGAAAGTCGATGTACAATCCAGCTGTTTTCGCCCACCTAATATCCTCCCATGTGCCTTCAGAAATACAAGGAAGATAGTAGTGCATGTTGTTGTTGAGTTGTAATGATTATTCAAATGTGTGTAATTTTATGAACATGAATATTTGAATTAAATGGAAAAACAAGTTAAGACTGCTCATTGATATTTGGTACTCCCGTGTTCATTTTTTTATTTTTATTAGTGTCAAAATATTTTAGATAATATTACAAATTTAACTTTAAACGGTAAAATGTAAACTATCACATCACTATAGATCCCTTAGGAATAAATTTGATAATTCATTCCTTATTAATACAATAAAAAAATAATAAAAATCATTCTCTTAAAAAAGTTAGCCTTCTTGATTTGTAATTTTAAAAACAGTTCTCAAGAATTCAAATAAAAAAACAATATGTATTTTATAATTCTCTAAAAACATATATTTTTATAACTGAATTTTAAAAAAATTGAACTAAGTAAAGTTTTGTACAATTTTTTATTTTTAATTTTTTGAGAACAAAAAACTATTTTCAAAATTATAAACTAAACAAATCTTTATTTTGGGACGGATGAAATATGAGAGTATGGTTGACCTAATGCATATCAGCCATAAAATGCATTAAAGCTAGATTACGTGGATGGTATGCATTCGGTCCCGAGAAGTATTTTTCAATAAATAATAATTGTAGGAGACGAACGCTCTCTATCAATTAAATATTTTTCAGCGAAGAATGTCGAATGGATGGGGAGTGTTCCTCTTCCTTTTTGTTTTAACTTTTTGCGAGAAAATCTTGGTTTTTGATATAGTGGTGGACTACGCTTTTCTGTTTTACCTTTTGTGTGAGAAAATCTTGATTTTTGATATAGTGGATCTAATGAAGAAATTTTTTGTTCAAACCAACTCAGTAAACTTTCAAAAAGATAAAATATATATGTACATATTTATATATTTATATATATGCACACACACACAGGCAGCCACTAATTTTTTTTTTTTAAAAAAAAAATAAACATATAGATTTTAGCGGAAGGAATCGGTACCCACCTCTTGTTCCAATCCAATTTCCAACTATCTTCCGCTATAAAAGGGACCCTTTGTGCATTGTCATGGCATAATTGGTTTTGGAACAATCCAAGGAGTCCAAATCGAAGTGTTTCTTTTTATATTTCAATTGAGTTGGTCCCTCCCTCAAATGGCATCATAACAATTATTATAAACAAACAAATCGGATGGACTTCACGGTGTGAATGTAGAGATTCGTATATCTAATTTATCCACTTGTTCACATGGCTTGGCTTTACAGCTACTCATCAGGTGACTAGGATCAAATTTTTAATTCTACAATTTTTCATAAATTTAATTCCAATCATTTTATCCGAGTGTTTGAATTGTTCCTCATATCTAAGAAGAACGAAAGTTCAAATTATTGGTAATTAATAGATT